AAGAATTGCGCGCGAGTTATATATTTTGCCTCTCTGGTCTTTACTTTTTTAATTCTCCGCTGAATTTTATCTCAGTTGTTACGGCGCCGTCGCTTGAATTAGTTAAAGAGCCTATCGGAAAAGTGGCGACAGACCGGAACGAACCAACTTGGGTAAAACACTCCTTTGGGTGTATAAAGCTGTATTAGGCGTCGTAGCTTACTTCGTCGTGCAACTTCCTAGTGCCGCTTGGAGACTCACGATCCTTCGGGAATTTACATGCGGTCGAGAACCATTGAGCGAGACAAAGTGAATAATCAATGTGCACGAAATTATGTTAAGCAGACTATGACTTTCATTATCCGCCGTAAGTCAGCGTTCTGAAAACGGCTGAGAAGATGCGTAAGGAACGTGGAAATATTACCGCTATACGAATACATAACGTTATACGCTTGGATTTTGAACAATGAAGTTAATCCAACCAAAAGTGTTCTACAGTTGGACATAGCAAGATAATGTTCGCCATGAAATAATACCGCTGGATTACAAAGGCATGTAATCTGCCTTTACCGTCCATTATTTAATGTCTCAGCTTCCATTTATATAATTGGATAAACGGAACAATGAAAGAGTATTTGTCGTTTCCAAATAAAAAAAAATTATCAATTGTGCGTATTTTAATGGTAATGAAATTTTATTATTGATAATCTTTTGTGATTTCTTTAGTGATAATCTTTTATTTATTTATATCAATGTTAGATATGTCCGTATATATGACATTGGCTAACAATAAAATACTGAAGTTTGAAACGCGATATTCATTATTCTAATATAACGCATTATATAAAAATCGCGAGATAATGACTTGTGTGACAGAAATCTAAAATATAAATTTATAATCTGAAAAACTCTCTGTTCTTCATTAATTTCACGTGCTTGGCTTTTTTTCATGACGTGACAATTATATTGTGCTATGCGAGGAAATAAGATTATTATTAATGATGAGTCCGATGTGACAGATATGATTTCATGAGAGTAAATAAATGGTGGCGTATTCGGCGGAAACACAGCGAGTGAAATGCAACGCGAAGAGAGCAACAATAATTTGGTGCGGCGCCTCGATTTTTCAACCGAGCTCATTATTCTTTCTTGCAACTTTCTTTTTTTCAATGCTCCTTGAGCATTGGTGTTCCGCTCGCTTGATAAATAGTTCCTCGCAGTTTGACCTCTCGATGTGAATTCAGGAGAAAAGACAAATCGATTCCGTTCCCGAGTGACCCGATCGTCTGTAACAAATATTCCATCGTTCGATAACCGTCTACAGCGTTTTTTTCGACGTTCCGTTTTTCAAGAAATAAAGAGCCATGCCATATTAAATGCTTCGAATGTTTTTTTCCAATAAATGCCATTACTGTTTAAGTTTCGACGGGATAATCACATTGAGTTAAAAATTTCCAGATTTGTCTATAATGCATTTCACTCGCTGCGCACATCGATAACGCTATGGCCGTGTTACATTGCGATGTGTAAAATGGTTGTGTCTCACAGAGCTTACACGACGTGACAGAATGTAACGTAAATACCGCAAACTTGAATGGCCTGAACATACTGCGTAAACCGGGCGAGCCACCGGTAGCTCGTATCTATCTACGTCGCTATCGCGATGAAAGGCTAAAGCTCCGAAAAGCTGTCTCCTGATTGCGCGTAACCGCGCCCGCTGCAAAGATTGGTCCATTAATCTTACCACGGACGCACGCGATATCACAGTTTCATGAAGAGACCACGTCCTAAATAAATGCGGCCGCTCGAAATACCAGCGCTGTGGCGCAGAAAATGCAGTTGCGCAATTGCGCAGAGGTAGTTATACCAGAGCAGAGTTAAAAAAAGGGGAGAAAAAAAATACGACGAAGCAGAAAATGGCTCGTATCCGAACTCCCAACAATGAAACCTTCCTTAGTAGTGCACTGTTGGCAAAGCTTGAATAGAACAGCGGTCGTGATCAATGGAATTTAGTTACCCAGGAGAGAGAGAGAAAGAGAGAAAGGGGAAGAGAGAGAGAGAGAGAGAGAGAGAGAGAGAGAGAGAGAGAGAGTAT